ATTCTCCGTTAGCGGTTCTTTTCACTCAGAATACGAAAAAGACATTTTCCTTCTTCTGTGCTTCTATTTGTGCATCCGATAATGCAGCAGGACTTTACCATTATCGGGGATAAATACGCGAGGTTATGCATTGTGTTTGCTACTGTGTTTCTTGCCTCCGACCAAAATATTTCCCAGCAGCAACGCGGGCTTTTAATAACAATGACGTCAGCTGAAACTCGTCTATAGTGCGGAAAATACGGTAATGTTTGGTTTTAAATGACAAATTTTGGTTTTGTGTGATTTAATTTACTTTAGTTGAATTCCATATTTGAGTTCCAATTTGTTGTGATGTCTTAAAAGAATACTTTTAAATAAAATGAACTTTTTTTTATATATCGCTGTTAACTAAATAAAGAATTGTATTGGTTCCACTATTTACTGCCTTTGTCCTGTGTTTTGGACTTGCCTGTGTTGTAATTAAATATATGTCAGTGGGGACCCCCTTCTGCCACATATATGCTCCTGGTTTTCAAGTTTTAACATAGACAAACTTAAGCTCTGTAAGAGTCTCATTTGGTCCTCTGACATTCCTGTAGCTGTGGGTGAGCTCTGGGTTAATATTCTGTCGTGAATCTTTATGTCCCTCTGAGGCCTCCGTCTCAGTTCAAGCCCGACAGGAAGTGAGCCGCGGGTTCAAACGGGACAGGAAGTGGTCGTGTGGCGCTCAGATCTGCGTTTGCTCCTCGAGGACAGGAGACATGTTTAGGACCTCAGGAAACAAGGAAGGGACGAACGAGAACGCCACCGAAACTCATCTGTGCCACGGCAGTTTCCAATAATGACCTGGATTTACACACAGCACTGTCCAGACGATCAAATGCTTTCAACTTCACTATTAGGATGAAGTGTCTTGCCCATGAACACAACAGTAGTGTGCAGTATTGAACCATCATCATTTATTAAATAAGACACTGTCAGCTGAGGTTTTCATTTAGGGCAGATTGGATCACGTGCTTTGACAGAGTTTTACGTCAGATGCCATGTTACACTCCCGGTTTAAGGAAAGGAGTTTGCACATTCTCCCTGTGTCTGTGTTTGGTTTTCCTAGTGTCTCTGGGTTAAACCTGCATTTGACCCATCCTTTTGTGCCTCTCTGGGTTAAAGCAGCATTTGACCCATCCTTCAGAGTCTTTGGATTAAACTAGTTTTCGACCCATGCTTCAGTGTCTCTGGATTAAAGCAGCATTTGACCCGTCATTCTTTGTCTCTCAGGGTTAAACCTGCATTTGACCCATCATTTTGTGTCTCTAGGTTAAACCTGCATTTGACCCACCCTTCTGTGTCTCTAGGTTAAACCAGTATTCAACCCATCCTTCAGTGTCTCCGGCTTAAACTTGCAATTGACCCATCCTTCAGTGTCTTTGGATTAAACTGGTTTTTGACCCATGCTTCAGTGTCTCTGGATTAAAGCAGCATTTGACCCAACCTTCAATCTCTCTAGGTTAAACTAGTATTCAACCCATCTTTCAGTGTCTCTGGGTTAAACTTGCATTTGACCACTCGTTCAGTGTCTCTGGGTTAAACTAGTTTTCAACCCATGCTTCAGTGTCTTTAGGTTAAACCTACATTTGACCCATCCTTCATTGTCTCTAGATTAAACTAGTTTTCAACCCAGGCTTCAGTGTCTCTGGATTAAAGCAGCATTTGACCCGTCATTCTGTGTCTTTCTGGGTTAAACCTCCATTTGACCCATCCTTTAGTGTCTCTGGCTTAAACCTCCATTTGACCCATCCTTCAGTGTATTTGGGTTAAACCTGCGTTTGACCCATCTTTCAGTGTCTCTGGGTTAAACTAGTTTTCGACCCATGCTTCAGTGTCTCTGGATTAAACCTGCATTTGACCCATCATGCTGTGTCTCTCTAGGTTAAACCTGCATTTGACCTATCTTTCAGTGTCTCTGAATTAAAGCAGCTTTTGACCCATCATTCTGTGTCTCTCTGGGTGCAGGTTTACTGCATTTGACCCACCCTTCAGTATCTCTAGGTTAAACCAGTATTCAGCCCATCCTTCAGTGTCTCTGGGTTAAACCTGCACTTGATTCATCCTTCAGTGTCTCTGAGTTAAAAATGCATTTGACCCATCCTTTAGTCTCTCTAGGTTAAACCAGTATTCAACCCATCTTTCAGTGTCTTTGGGTTAAACTAGTTTTCGACCCATGTTTCAGTGATTCTGGATTAAAGCAGCATTTGATCCGTCATTCTGTGTCTCTCTGGGTTAAACCTGCATTTGACCCATCCTTCAATGTCTCTGTGTTGAACCTGCATTTGACCCATCTTTCAGTGTTTCTGTGTTGAACCTGCATTTGACCCATCATTCTGTGTCTCTCTGGGTTAAACCTGCATTTGACCCATCCTTTAGTGTCTCTAGGTTAAACCTGCATTGGACCCACCCTTCAGTGTCTCTAGGTTAAACCAGTATTCAACCCATCTTTCAGTGTCTTTGGGTTAAACTGGTTTTCGACCCATGCTTCAATGTCTCTGGATTAAACCTGCATTTGACCCGTCCTTCCGTGTCTTTGGGTTAAACCTCCATTTGACCCACTCTTCAGTGTCTGTAGGTTAAACCAGTATTCAACCCATCCTGCAGTGTCTCTAGTAGTGGGACCCATCTCCAGTTTTGGTCAGGACTGCGGTAGCTGGAGCATTTGACCTGTTGTGCATGTTTTGGGTTGATGGAGGAAACCCACCCAGACACAGGGAGAACGTGCAAACTTCACACAGAAACGCCGGGGTTGAACCAGGAACCATTTAACACACCATAAACTTTGGCTGTACTTGCCAATATTGATCATTTGTTACATATAAAATTTTTGTGTCTAAATTATTTCATCATTACATTAAATTAGATTCTTAAGTTTGATATCCACCATCGCAAAAGCAGCCTGATATATTGAAAGATTATCTGAAAAGTCAAGGAAAAAACACCAAATGGATTTAAAGAGCACATTTTCAGGAGTCTGTGATCAGCGCGAGCGTTCATGATCCTGTTGAGGAGTTTGATTTTACACTAAAAGCTTCTAGTCTGAGTCAGTTCTTCCTGGTTGTGTTAAAATAATGGCACATTGTCTTGTGCTCAGGACTCAGGACAGAAAACCGACCTCCACCACAAGAAAGTGCAATGGAACGGCCAATCAAATGGGGGGTTCCGAAACACAAACTCGGGCTGGTTCGAAGCAGGCCGAGTCGGATTTATGTCAGAGTAAATGTGGGCGAACACAGTAAACGGGGAGAATTGCCTTTTTGTCATTTTGATGTGTGAAGTTGTGTTTGTGTAGAGAAAGTGTCTTCTTAAAACTTTGTAGTGACATTTAGACTTTCTTTCACATCATTTGACAGAAGACACAAGTTTTTTTTTTGAAAATGTAAAAGTCAAACAGCTCAAAACTCTCAAAACTTTTTAAAAACTGAATGAAACAAAGACTAAGGTGATACTGTTTGGATCCAGCAGTATCCTCACTGATGTGGCACCCCTCAAAAATTAAATCACCAACCTCCGCGTCACCTTAGACAGTGATTTTAAGTTGGTGTTTTAAAATCAAGTGTTTTTTTTTAAATAATTTGTGGCTTTTATCCAAAGTCAAAACTTTTTAATCTTTTAAACTTTTTGAACATGTCGTGCACACTTTTATTTCATCATGCCTGGATGACTGGAATGCGTTTTATTCTGGCATCTCACAAAACACACTTTACTGACTACAGTGAGTCCAAAACTCTGCGGCATGACTTTAAACAGGAATCAAAAGAAGAGAGCACCAATTCTAGCGTCGTTGCACTGGCTTCATGTTCATTTTAGAATTGATTTTAAGATTTTATAGTTTGTTTTTAAAGCTTTGAATGGACTTGCCCCACAGTACGACTCAGACCTCATCCAAATTTACAGCCCCGAGCACTCTGAGGTCCGAGGTCCAGCTCCAGCTCGAGTGCCTAAGACGTCAAACCAGGAGGACAGGACCTTCTCTGTGGTCGGCCCCAAACTCTGGAACGTTCTGCCCCCCCACGTCCCAACAGCCCCACACTGGAGAGTTTTATGTCTCCTCTTTTATTCTCTGAGTTTTAACACCGTGTGAGTTGTGAGTTCCTCTGTGTCTTTTATTTATTTGAAATTTTACTGGTTTTATTGTTATAAGACGAGACGTGATTACATCTAAGCATTCATTTTATAATTTTATTGGTGTTATTATGATGCATTTGTGCAGCACTTTGGAAACTGTTTGTTTATGAAATGTGCTCTAGAAATAAAGTGAATTGGATTGAAATGGTCATGAGCTCTGGGTAGTGACCAAAAGGACATGATCGCGGATACAAGCGCTCGAAATGAGTTTCCTCCGCAGGGTGGCTGGGCGCTCCCTTAGAGATAGGGTGAGGAGCTCAGTCACACGGGAGGAGCTCGGAATAGAGCCGCTGCTCCTCCACGTCGAGAGGAGCCAGTTGAGGTGGCTTGGGCATCTGTTCCGGATGCCTCCTGGGCGTCCCCTTCGGGAGGTGTTTGGGCATGTCCCACCGGGAGGCGGCCCCGGGGAAGACCCAGGACACACTGAAGGGACTATGTCTTTCGGCTGGCCTAGGAACGCCTCAGGGTCCCCGGAGGAGCTGGAGGACGTGTCTGGGGTGAAGGAAGTCTGGAAGTCCCTGCTTAGACTGATGCCGGGCGACCTGGCCCCGCATAAGTGGAAGAAAATGGATGGATCCATATCTGTGGCATCCATATTTTCTCCAACTGTTACAATGGAACATATTTATTAGGTTGAAAGAACTGACAGATTTATCGACTACCATCGTTCAATGAAAAGTGGTATGAAGCTCAGATTAAAGTCTAATTTGAATAACAGAGAAACAGACAGAACAGTGCCTCCAGACAGCATCACAACCCCAGGAAATGTTGATGATTTCAGCTTCAAAGTCTCTATTGTTATTCTAAATAAAAGAAGAAATAATCCAATGAGAAAGACTGAGTCGCTGTTTTAGATTAGATCATGAAACTTTTATATCATAATTTACATTTTGACATTTTGCACATAAATAAAAGACATTTGTAAACCAGAGTGTAAACAGGAAGTAAAAGCTCAAGACAGCTTTGGTCGAACACATGGACAGTCTGGACTTTAAGACACTCCTAATGCTTCAGTGTCGTAATAAAATACAAATAAAATAAAATAAAATAAAATAAAGTCGTCAAAAGGAGAAGGGGCGGAGCCAGTGCATTCAGGAAATCAACAACAAAATGGCTGACATGAAGACTATTCACAAACATTTACAAGAGAAACACTTTAATATCACTTCATCCTTTTTTTCCTTCGTCCCTTTTGGTTTAAATAATCATTTTTAAGATCCCATATCCAGCCCAATATACTGTAAATATTTTGGATAATCATTTGAATATTTTGGGCAGTTTCCAATTGGTGGAAAATTGAATAAATTATAGAAGATATCATTGGCTAAATAATCATAAATTAACAGGAAACAAACTAACATGTCACTTTGTTTGCTCGTGTTACGTCCCTTTTTGGTTTAAAAATACTCCCTTATTCTTCTCTATAAATGTTATTAGCTTTTTAAGAAATCAATATCAGTTTTTAATTTGGAAATCGCTGAATTTTGAGCATTTGAATTCCACATCTTATAAACAGTGACCTAGGACAGTCCCAGTTTTGAGCAGATTGACCCAAAACCGTTTATTTGTCCCAGTTTGATACAAGAAATGTCCCTGTTTTTGACCAATCTGAGCCTGCCAACAGTAAAGAGAGACATAAACCGTCATTTGTTTGGGTAAAATACAGAAAAGCTGCTTAAAAACGACCAAAACACTACGAAAATGTGACTATACTGACTCACATGTTGGTCACGAATGGGCCGAACTCATTATAATTTTCCGTTTTACAATTTTATTCTTACCAACTGCCCCAAAACAGGGACATCCCACTTTTTTATTTTGAAAATCTGGTAAATTCAATCTTATATGTGTTGATTCTAATTGGTGGAATTACTAGGGGATGTAACGATATCCAAATCTCTCGGTATGGTATCGGTATCAGTTTATATTTTGAAGAGGCTGATCTAACTGTAGATGTGACACTTTTTTGCTTTTAAAATACGTTGACAAGAATTTGGTGCGAATTATTAGTGTCATAATCTCAAGAATACAAGTAAAAAACATATTTCTTTACATTGTCTGCGCAGAAATGAATCATGGGATATGCAGTTCCCAATGTTTATTAGCTGTTGCTACTATAAAAAAATGCATTTAAGCAAAGAAACTTGCAATTCGATAAACTGTGACAGCCCACGATATTATTTTGAGATTTTTGACGATACAATATCACTAGAGATGTAACGATATCCAAATCTCTCGGTACGATATTTATTGCAATATTTTAGAGAGGCTGATATAATTGTAGATATGACACTTTTTTTGCTTTTAAAATAAATACCCTGACAAGGTTTTGGTGTGTTATTTCTGTCATAATCTCAAGAATACAACTAAAAAACATATTTCTTTCCATTGTCTGCGCAGAAAGGAATCATGGGATATGCAGTTCCCGATGCTATTATAAAAAAAAATGCAATTAAGCGAAGGAACTTGTGATTCAATACACTGTGACAGCCCATGGTATTATTATTTTTGATGACACGATATCATGATATTTCAGGTTACTGTTGCATCTCTACTAAAACGTGAAAGATTAGGGATTATTCTAGGACTGGGGCGGGATACGGGAGCTTGCACGTCGCTTTGGTTGCTTAGCGTCAGTGTTCTCAAACAGAATGACAAATGTGCTACACGTTGCTAAACCTTCCCTCGCTCGCTTCATTCTTCTTCAAGTAGCAAAAAATAAAAACAACAAAATAAATATTACATCACAATCATTCGAACATTCACTCTGAGGTAACGTTGTGGTAAAAATGCCCTTGTTTGTGAAAAGGCAGAGACGGATTGACCAATGTAGAAGCTATGCCGTATGTGCCGGTTTAGGTGAAAGTTAAGTTACATAAATATAAAAAAGCCCTGATAATGTCGTGTTTTGAAAGAGTTTAAGATCTTTGGAAGAGAATCATCAATAAATTAAGAAGGATAAACAAAAACATACATTACAATATTAACATTAAATTACAATAACATTAAACCTGGTTACATGATTGTCTCTATCATAAGGACAGTGTAGTAGTCGCGGGTCGCTTTGGGTTCGCCCTGAGAAGAAGGAAGTCCCTGATTTGAGGAAACGTTTGAGTGGTTTCTAAAGTCTTTTATTTACAAGTTGCTCCGGGCAACGCGAGTCCTGGTTTTAGATCCACTGAGCCGGTCCAGTTTTCTGCATCCTGGTTTTAAAGCTGTGAGTTCGTTTGCATATTTCGATCGTTAAACATTTGAGATCATTTCTTTGGTGAAAAATAAAGCTATGTTGTCGTATATGGCTTTTTCCAAGTTATAATTCTACCCCAGTAACGCAACTTCAAATTTCACAAACATTGGATTAATAAATAGCTTGAAATTTTGTGAATTTATTTTTTTTTTATTACTATCATCTGGAAAGTATTACCCATTTATACTTCAATTTGTTGGTATTTTAGAATCTTTATAGTAAACAGAGCAATGCTGTAATATTTTTTTCTAAATACATTGCTAACTAAATCAGTTCATATTAATGTGTAAAAATATGATGCATTTTTGTGATTTTTTTTGTTATAGGTTTCATATTTTTTTCTCATATGTCAATTTTTTTCCAACAATTTTTTATGCATTTACTGGGGTGAGAATTTCTATCACCATGTTGTTTGTACAGTCCTCCATTAAGAGCATTTTCGAGTCTCTTTCTCAGTCTTTTTTCCCTCAGACCTCTGCTTCCTGTTTGACCGTTACCGGGAGCGACGGGCTGCTGTGGCGCATTTTGATGACGGACGTTTCGTTGGGCGAATCGTACGCCGCGAACCCGCCCGCGTGGTATTTAAGCTCCGCCTCTCTCCACTGCATCCCCAGGACCTGCTTCTCCAGCATGGCCTCCAGCTCGGCCCCCCCCTGCAGCGTGTCCAGGCGCTCGGCGTGCTCGCTCAGGTCGAAGCGCTCGATCTCCTCGTTGGCGCGGTGCAGCTGCTCCATGGCCAGGCGGGACGGGGCGCTGGAGGCCATGCAGTAGCCCTTGAGGTGGAGGCGCAGGCTGCACAGGTGGATGTAGTTGCGGTGACACTGGGGGCACTTGTGGGGGCGCTCTCGGGAGTGCAGTCTCTTGTGGAGTTTGAGGTGGACGAACTGCGTGAACTTGGCGGGGCAGAGCTTACAGTGGTAGGGCTTCTCTCCGGAGTGCAGGCGCAGGTGGGTCTTTAAGTTACTGGTGCTGCTGAAGCGCTTGTGACAAACCTGAAATCGACAAAAAACGGTAAGTTAGATTTGGGGTTTTTATACGGGTCACAACAAACGCAAACGCCGCAACAAATACAAAAGCCACAACACGGACCGGACCGATCAAGCGGCAAGTGAAGAAGAAGAACTACAACGTGAAAAGTAAAGGAACAGAGAAGTTGGAAACATAAGTAAAAATAATTTATTGTTTTATCATTATTCGATTCACGTTGTAGTTCTTCTTCTTCACTTGCCGCTTGATCGGTCCGTCGGAAAATAGAGTCCCGCGGTCACTTCCGTTGTGGCTTTTTAATGTGTTGCGGCATTTGCGTTTGTGTTGTGGCATTTGTATTTGTTGTGGCGTTTGCATTTTGTCATTCCGTTGTGGCTTTTTAATGTGTTGCGGCATTTGCGTTTGTGTTGTGGCATTTGCATTAAAATAAAGTCCCGCGGCCATTTCCGTTGTGGCTTTTTTTGGTTTGTTATGGCTTTTTGTTTGTGTTGTCGCATTTGTATTTGTTGTGACCTGTCTCGGCTTCCGTATTTTTATGATACAGGACAAAACATCTTGGTACCACTTTATAAAAACAACATTAAGTGTGAACAAAGACTTAATCCATAAAGAACAAATCATTTATTAAAAATTATTCAGGCTTAAAAGTACGAGTAGTAGTAGTTTATTCGCTCATTTTACAGCACTACGAAACAAAACACAGACTACAACCGGGTTTAGGCTGTACTTAAGTAAAAGTACTTATAATGCCTAACCCTATTAAACTATGACAGAATTCCAAGAAAGAAAAGACGCGTAATAATAAAGTAATAAAAGCTTAATGAATGGTTAGTGCAGTTTTAATTAAAGAGGGTTTATTTTACTTCTGTGAGGCATTAACTGCTAACACATTTAGACCATATTTAGATCTCCACGTTACCTTTTATTAACGTGTAATAAATTTCACTTTCATTTTTAGTGTCTCCCCTCAGTTTGCTCTCCATGCTAAGTTGCTTGCCTTAAGAGCGTTATCACAACACAATCACTACAGCGTTTTCTATCATGTTTTTGTATATTTATGGAGAATTGTCATGTAGGAGCGTAGGCTTGTAGGAGGAGCATTGTACAGCCTCGTACTGCTAACCATAAATAGGGTTTAAACAGGGCCCAGGAGAGATCACTAGATTACTCAAACATGCATGAATGACATCTTAAACCTCTTCAGAAGTGTTTTTGATGATGAAAAAAATGTTATAAATCAGTAGAAAGCTCCAAAAAGAAGACTTCACTTAAAATACCCAGGCTTCCCACAGTTATGGAAATCCTGGAAAAGTCATGGAAAATGAAAATGTCATTTTCCAGGCTGGGAAAAGTCATGGAATTTTGTAAATTCAATGAAAGCTTTGGAAAAGTGTTGGAATTTTAGTATCTCTTTCACACAACTACAGCGTTCTGTTAATTTTTCATGAAGCTATTCTGATTATTTCTGAACGTGTGCATCTTTTGTTTAAAAGAGACGACAATAAATGCACTGACAGGATTTTGAATGTTAAAAAACTATAATCCCAAACCATAAGGTGAGTGGAAAGAGTTAACATTTCAGATTTAGCCCTAAAAGTCTGATCAAATCTACACATGTTGGTGCTGTAAAGTCATGGAAAATTCACTTAGGCTTCTGTAATTAGTTACTAAGCCTGATTCTTTCTTGAAAAACTATATGTTGAAAAGGTGAAGCCTGCCTCCTCCTCACCTGGCATTCGTGCGGCTTCTCCCCCGTGTGGACCAGGTAGTGTTTCTGCAGGTGGGCCAGCTGCGTGAAGCCTTTGTTACACGTCTGACACTTGAACGGCCTCTCTCCGCTGTGCACCCGGAGATGGACCTGACGAGAGACCAAACCAGGTTTTTATTTCAACAACAAAAAAAGTCCAAAAGTCAAATCCACAAATCCATTCTCCAGCCACACTCCAACATCTGGGAGGGCATCTGACACACCACCACATGTGCAGACTAACTAGAGACATCTGACCTGCCCCCACCCTCAATCTAACCACAGGGATATACAGTAAGAGGACGGGAGGGCATCTGACGCATACAGAGGGATATACGTAGGAGTGTGGGAGAGTATCTGACACATACAGAGGATATAGGAGTGTGGGAGGGCATCTGACACACTGGGAAATCGCTTTAATTACTACGAGACTCATTTAACAGACATGAAAGCGGATTATTGATGCCATATGTCGTGTTTTGGGTTGTCCGTTTTTTGGCACACCTTAGTAGAGTGGTAATTACAGCTTGTGTCTCGTGTACAAAGGCTGGAATGATAATTAGCCCGTAAATCAGAGAGCGGTGACGGCGCTGTCTCATCTCGATATGTCAGACGCACGTGAGGCTGCGACAGGTACGAAAAATGCATATGTTTTGACCCGGTTTATGGCTCATTTCTCTGTAATTACCGGGCCTATCCGCATGAAACTAAAGTATTCAAATTTCAACATCCTCTTTGTCTCCGGACTTTAGTTCACACTTAAGGTTTGGTCCTGGTTGAGTCCGACTTTGACCACAGTGCAGAGCTTTTGGAGCTTTGGAGATGCAGACAGACTAATAATTAAGGATTACTCAAACATGTGTGAATGAAACCAAACCAAACCTCAGGTATGTTTTTGATGAGGTAACAACATTATAAAATGGCTTAAAACTCACAACAGTCAGTTTTGCGCAATACAAGACACTGAAAGGGCCCGAGTGATACTGTTTTCTTATCTACGTTATAATGTTGTTTCTGCATCACAAACGGACTTGAAGTTGTGTTTTGCATGTTAAGGCTTAAGGGCTTCTTCTCTCAAATGGAAAACACCTTCACTAGAATCATTTGGATGGTTTCAGTCATGGAATTGCCAGTCTAATCAACCAGGGTGACCAGATTTTCAAACGCAAAAACTGGGACACCCTTGTTTTTTTGGTGGTTTGTAATAATAAAATTGTGAAACTGTTCTGCACTCGGCCCATTCATAACAAACATTTAAGTCAGTATAGTCACATTTTCTTTGTGTTTTGGTCTTTTTTAAGCAGCTTTTCTGTATTTTATCAAAACAAATGTCAATGTATTTCTTTCTTTACTTTTGACAGGGATCAGATTGGTCAAAAATAGGGACATCTGGGACATTTCTTGTATAAAACTGAGACAAATCAGTGGATAAATCTGCTGGGACAGGGGACACAGGCTCAAAACTGGGACTGTCTCGGGTAAACAGGGATGTCTGGTCAAACTATGTTGCTGTTAATTTGAAAACTACCACTACATGACGTCACAAGGTGGAACAGAGCATTTTGAGCTTCGGAGATGTAGACAGACTAATAATTCTGGGTTACTCAAATGTGTGACTGAAATAAAACTCAACTCCAGGTTTGTTTTTGAAGAGGTATCAACATTAGAACATAGAATGGCTTAAAACTCATAAAAGTCCACTTTCTGAAATAAATAAAGGCAATGCAGAATTATATATTTTCAGAAATTTCTTGGAGCCTCACCTTGAGATTGGAGAGCTGCCCGAAGGTCTTGCTGCAGACGTTGCATTCATATTTGATCTTCCCGTTTTGTTTCTTGAGCGGATAGGGGAGCGCTTTGTACCCGGCCGACCCCGCACTACGCTTCACTTTACTCAAGTTCATCGCTTCATCCGAGTCCGTGCTGCACGCGCCCGGGCTCGCCAGCATCGCCGACGTGGGCTTGGTGGCGACGCGCTCGCTGGGAGGTGACGTTCCGGCGGTCGGGGAGCCGCTGGAGGGCACCATGTGGTAGGACAGGTGAGAGTTCGCTTTGTCTTTCAGCGACGTAGCGGAGGAGAAGGCGCTGGTGGGAGCTGGGAGCAGATAGTCCCTGTGCGTGGGCAGGTGGTCAGGGAGAAGGAACCTTCTTGCCCCAGCGTCAGAGGGGAGGAGAGGGGGGAGGAGGCTGTTGTACAGAGGGTACATCCTTGGGAAAAGACTTCCGATCGTGGGCACGGCGCCGCCTGGAAGAGGGTAGCTCTGGGGGAGGAGGTAGCGCGAGTACGGGGAGGTGGAGGCCTGGTAGAATGGAACAGAGAGGGGAGCAGACGGAGGAGAGTACCCAGGGAAAGAGGGGAGGGCGGAGGGGTAGAACGGCCCAGATAGGGGGCTTCCATGCGGGCTGCTTTCCGGACTGCTGCGGGCGTTCGGGCTGGGCGTGGTGGAGGAGTGGTTTCCTGGCGAACGGGAGGGCATCTGGCTCGATTTGAAGAAGTCCTCCGGGTGCAGCGGAGTGGGGTAAAGCGGGCGCGTGGGCAGAGGGCGGCTGGGTTCTCGTTTGGTGGAGTTTGTGCCGCGCAGGATGGACAAGACGCTGTGCTCGCGTCTGGGGCGGGTGGGGACGTGGGTGGGGGTCCCGTGGTTGGGGGTCACGTGGGTGGGGGAGGCGCTGGTGGGCGGAGACAATCGCTCCTCTGAGGCCTGCTGCTGCTTCACCTCGAGAAGGGATTGCTCTGTGGAGAGAGAGAAGAGGGAGATTAATATGAGTTTAAAGCAGATTTCTCTTAATAAAAGAATCCAAATAAAATAAAATATCCAAAACAAAGTTTGGGATATTTTTTATATCAATAATAGGGATGTAAAAATAACCGAAATATTGTGATATCGTATCGTCAGAGTTTTCACAATAATATCGTGGACCATCACAATATATCGAATCACAAGTGGGAAGAGGGAACAAGAGGGAACTACATAGACCATGATCCTTTGCTCCGTTTCAGTGCAGACTACATGAAGAAATAACAGTTCTAACACTTTTAAGTCTTAGTTCTTTGGGTTAAGTCTTATCAAGGCATTTGAAAAGGAAAAAGTAGCATGTTCACAGTTTTTGTTAACCTCCTCAAAATATCACAATAAATATTGTACCGTGAGATGTACATCGTGAAAATATCGTACCGAGAGTTTTGGATATTGTTACATCCCTAATAAATAAGTATATTTATTTTATTTTTTAAATATAGAGATTGTAGAACAGCTGGATAGAGTTTATTTTGGATACATTCATGATTTTCTTTGCCTTATTAAGTTTATTTTATTCATTTTATGTTTTCTACATCACAAAACTGTTTATAGTTTTAGCCTATATTCATTTTCAATTTGAAAGTGTTGCATTTACACAGATCAGCAGTAGAAAAAACGTGATGTTGGTGTTTAGTGGCTCTATAAAAAAGACTCAAACGTGCACGGGTCAATCCACATACAAGTTCAGAGGGTCAGTGTGAAGAAACTACGAGAACACGGTTAAAAAGTGAATAGGTTTGCTGTAAATATAATGATGTTAATAGTGTTTGAGTGAGTTTTTAGTGTTTTCAGTGAGCCTAAGCTGTCCCACACACTTTAAAGCGGCGCAGGCCTCCAGCTCTGACCCGCAGTTAAACCCTGTGTGTTTGAAGAGCCATTTAGGCCGTGAGTGCTCCGCTCCTGACAGCCCCACCGCGCGCTAACCCCGCTCCTAATCTGCGCTTTCATCACGAGGAAGAGCCAGAGGTGTGAGAGACGGAGGAGGAAGCGTCTCGTCTGACCCCTGACCCCGCGCGCATCGGGCCAATGGGAAGCGGAGGCCCGGCGCACGGACGCTGACGTGCCAGCGCCAAGCCGAGAGTCAACAAATCAAACGAGAGCCGTTATCTCCAGGCGCCGCGATCCAGGACCCACGTCGTATATGTCAAACTGTCACATGGTTTATGGAGAGGGTTTAAAGCAATATACCGGAACTCTCCATGGTATAATCTGAATGATGAAGTCTACGAGACTACTAAGATCAAGAAGTAAACCAGGACTAAACCAGGACTGAATCAGGACTGAATCAGGACTGAACCACGACTGAAACTAGGAATGAACCAGGACTAAACCAGGACTAAACCTGGAGTGGACCAGGATTGGACCAGGACTAAACCATGGCTGAAATTAGGACTGAACCAGGACTAAATACGGATTAAACCAGGACTAAACCAGGAGTGGACCAGAACTGAACCAGGACTGAAACTAGGACTTGAACTAGGACTAAACTGGGACTGAATCTAGGACAAAACCAAGACTAAACCAAGACTTAACCAGGACTGAACCAGGACTAAACTAGGACAAAAAACAGGACTTAAACTAGGACTGAAACTAGTACAAAACCAACATTAAACCAAGACTGAACCAGGACAAAACAAGAACTAAACCAGGACTACGTCAGGACTGAAACTAGGACTGAACTAGGCCTAAACCAGGACTGAAACTAGGACAAAACCAAGACTAAACCAAGATTGAACCAGGACTGAACCAGGACTAAACCAGGACTGAACCAAGACTAAATCAGGAGTCAACCCGCACTTTACTACAACTAAACCAAGACTAATCCAAGAATGAATCAGAACTAAACCAAAACTACACTGGATCTAAACCAAAACTAAACCAGGACACATAATTTTTTCTCAATTTTCACTTGTAATTGTCCCAACTTTAGCAAAAGATCCACACAAAAGGTTGATTAAAAAGCATTGTGCATCAAATAAATGAAAGTTCTGTATTTTGTAAGTTTTTCTGCTCCCTGATTGGCTGGACCGTGCTTTATTGTGTGAGTGAAGGAGCCTCCATTACGCCACGGCCCTGATTCTATCTTCATTAATAGAAGCAGCGTCTGCCCCGGGGCGGGTGGCTGTCACGGCTCACTTCCTGCCCTGCCCCCCCCCCCCCCGTCCTCCACCCGCGGTCGTTCGTCAAATGTGTCGTCCTAATTGGTGCACTGAGTTACCGATGGCTTGTTTTAACTTTCTGACCCGAGCGCTTTATCTCTGCCTCAGGTTTAGGCTTACACCACGACAAAACACTGTGCCTTTCAGAAGTAGTGGGAGTAGAAGTAGCTGTAAAGTCAGTAAAAGTTATTGTAGTAGTAGTAGTAGTACTTTGTAGTGGTCAAGTTAACAGAATTCTAATTATGGAGTCTACCTGGACGACTGAGAGATTACACAGATACAACTGCAGTAGTAGTATTAGCAGCAGCAGCAGTAGTAGTAGCAGTAGTAATAGTAGTAGTAGTGTAGTTAGTTAGTAGTAGTGCATAGTGCAGTAGTAGTAGTAGTACTAGTAGCAACAGAAGCAGCAGCCAGCAGAAGAAGTAGTAGTAGTAGTAGTAGTAGTAGTAGTAGTAGTAGTAGTAGTAGTAGTAGTAGTAGTAGTAGTAGCAGCAGCAGTAGTAGTAGTGCAGTAGTAGTAGTAGCAGTATAGTCAATAGTAGCTTAAGTAGTAGTAGTATAGTAGTAGTAGTAGTAGTATTTTGGGTGTACTCTGAGGCAGGCCCCCAACGCTGCTGCTGACCTGTAGTAGTAGTAGTAGTAGTAGTAGTAGTAGTAGTAGTATTTTGGGTGTACTCTGAGGCAGGCCCCACACGCTGCTGCTGACTGTAGTAGTAGTAGTAGTAGTAGTAGTAGTAGTAGTAGTAGTATTTTGGGTGTACTCTGAGGCAGGCCCCCACACGCTGCTGCTGACCTGTAGTAGTAGTAGTAGTAGTAGTAGTAGTAGTATTTTGGGTGTACTCTGAGGCAGGCCCCCACACGCTGCTGCTGACCAGTAGTAGTAGTAGTAGTAGTAGTAGTAGTAGTAGGCCCCACACTGCTGTAGTAGTAGTAGTAGTAGTAGTAGTAGTAGTGTACTCTGAGGCAGGCCCCACACGCTGCTGCTGCCTAGTAGTAGTAGTAGTAGTAGTAGTAGTAGTATTTTGGGTGTACTCTGAGGCAGGCACAGCTAGTAGTAGTAGTAGTAGTAGTAGTAGTAGTGTAGTAGTAGTGTACTCTGAGGCAGGCCCCACAGCTGCTGTAGTAGTAGTAGTAGTAGTAGTAGTAGTAGTAGTAGTAGTAGTAGTAGTATTTTGGGTGTACTCTGAGGCAGGCCCCCACACGCTGCTGCTGACCTGTAGTAGTAGTAGTAGTAGTAGTAGTAGTAGTAGTAGTAGTATTTTGGGTGTACTCTGAGGCAGGCCCCCACACGCTGCTGCTGACCTGTAGTAGTAGTAGTAGTAGTAGTAGTAGTAGTAGTAGTAGTAGTAGTAGTATTTTGGGTGTACTCTGAGGCAGGCCCCCACACGCTGCTGCTGACCTGTAGTAGTAGTAGTAGTAGTAGTAGTAGTAGTATTTTGGGTGTACTCTGAGGCAGGCCCCCACACGCTGCTGCTGACCTGTAGTAGAGTAGTAGTAGTAGTAGTAGTAGTAGTAGTAGTAGTAGTAGTAGTATTTTGGGTGTACTCTGAGGCAGGCCCCCACACGCTGCTGCTGACCTGTAGTAGTAGTAGTAGTAGTAGTAGTAGTAGTAGTAGTAGTAGTAGTATTTTGGGTGTACTCTGAGGCAGGCCCCCACACGCTGCTGCTGACCTGTACATCACAGCTACATCCGCCCAGTGTAAACATCCACCTTATCAATTAGCCTCCTCCTCTCCTTCCTCCTTTCCTTGTTCCTTTCCTCCTCCCTCTCTCTCTCTCTCCCTCCTCCTTTCCTTTCCTGTATCCTTTCTTCCTCCTCTCTTCTCTCCCACTTCCAGAAAACAAACAGTGGGCCATTTCGGAGATATCAATCTGTCATCGCGAACCCTCTGCCAGGAAGTTCAAGTCGTCACCACAGCGAGGGGGGGGCCGGGGGGGGGGGGGGGGGGGGGGGGGCTAACCATTACCCCTCATTTCAAAGTACGGACAGACTCACAAAAACGAGTGCAAATCACTACGGAACGCCGACTTCTTCTCATATCAACAAACAATATATTGAAGTACTTTGAACTCTTTGGGAGTTTTTGCTGGGTTACATTTCGACTTGCACTTCAAATTTTCTTGCAAAGTTAAGTTACGTTTAAGCCCAGTTTAGTTCTAATGTAGACTTGGTTTAGTCCTGTTCAAGTTCTGGTTAGGTCTTGGTTTAGTCCTGGTTTAGTTCTGGGTTTAGTCCCAGTTTTGTCATGATGTGTGCTTTAATAAAATTATGAAATATACATTATATTTTATCAAAGAATAGGTGAAAATTTGATCCTGGTTTGAGCCCAGTGTAGTCCTGATGTAGACTTGGTTTAGTCCTGTTGTTCTTTTCTGGTCCTGGTTTAGTCCTGGTTTAGTTCTTGGTCAATGCAATAATAATTTTATGAAAAGATAACATATATTTTATTAAAGAACCGTGGAAAATGTGATCCTGGTTTGAGTCTAGTGTAGTCCTGATGCAGACTTGATTCGGCCCTGTTCTAGTCCTGATGTAGTCCTGGTTTAGTTCTTGGTTTACTCCCAGATTTGACAGGTGAATACCAAAGCGTTACTATGGCAACACACTCAGTCTGATAATAGTGATATAAAAAGATAAGTCATTTACTGCCCTGTTTTATTGTGGAGGCTCAAAGAACTGTAGTCTCATTCAAAGCCCCTGAATAGGACTACAGTTCCCAGGTGAGACTCAGAGCTAATTGCAGCCTGAGCGACTCCTCTGGCCCATGCGCATTGCCCCGGGTCTGCCCTTAAAGCCCCCGTGATGCCCCCCCGAAGCCCCCCGCGGTGAGTGAGTATACAGCCCCACTGTCTCCTCAATGGCCTCTGTTCTTGGTTCAGTCTGTACCTGTGCTAACCTCTGCTCCTCCGCACCATTGTCCCTGAGACCTAAACTATATGGCCTTCGTTATCTTGGAACGTTTAGACTTGGTGTTGTCACGATACTAACATTTCACACTCGATTTCGATACTGAGGAATCGACTCGATACTCCATACTGATTCTGATACCACGAGGATCATAAAAAAGAATGGTAGTACTTTCTCTTCTTTCTTCTTCTCTTATACATCTTCTGATACAGCTCAAGATCATTCTAAAATAATTCTTCTTTTTTGTAGTAGTAGTAGTAGTAGTAGTAGTAGTACTTATTGTTGTTGTACTTGTAGCGGGCATTATTAATCCTGTGTGTGTCCTGTCTCCTCTTTAACAGTGTTTGAGTGCCGTGTCTTCCTCTCTGTAGTAGTAGTATTAGTAGTAGTAGTAGTAGCAACAACAGTAGGAGTACTAGTACTAACAGTAGATGTAGTCACACTAATAGTAGTAGTAATTGTAGCAGAGTAATAGTAGTAGACTTGTAACAGACAATATTAATGCTGTACTTGTTCTGTCTCCTCTTTAACAGTGTTTTGAATAGTAGTAGGAGCAGAAGTAGAACTACTTGTACTAGTAGTAGTAGTAGTGGTAGTAGTAGTAGCGTGTCCTGTTTCCTTTTTAACTCCTCTTTTGAGTGTCGTGTCTTCCATCTCTGTAGTAGTAGTAATAGTAGTAGTAGCAGTAGTAGTAGTAGTAATAGTAGTAGTAGAAGTAGTAGAGGTAGTGGTACTTATACTTATACTTATAGTAGTAGTAGAGTAGTAGTTGTAGTAGACATGTAGCAGGCATTATTAATCCTGTGCATGTTCTGTCTCTCTTTTAACAGTGTTTTGAGGAGTAGTAGTAGTAGCAGTAGTAGTACTAATAGTAGTAGTAATAATAGTAGTAGTAGTAGTAATAGAGTAGTAATAGTAGTAGTAGACTTATAGCAGACATTATTAATTCTGTGCATGTCCTGTCTCCTCTTTAACTAATCTTTTGAGTGTCGTATCTTCCTCTCTGTACTAATAGTAACAGTAGTAGTAGTAGTAGCAGTAGTAGAGGTAGTAGTACTTATAGTATTAGTAGTAGTAGTGGTAGACTTGTAGCAGACATTATTAATCCTGTGTGTGTCTTGTCTCCTCTTTAACAGTGTTTTGAGTGCTGTGTCTTCCTCTCTGTAGTAGTAGTACTAGTAGTAGTAGCAGTAGTAGAGGTAGTAGTACTTATAGTAGTTGTAGTAGAGTAGTAGTAGTAGTAGACTTGTAGCAGACATTATTAATCCTGTGCGTGTCCTGTCTCCTCTTTAACAGTGTTTTGAGTGCTGTGTCTCCTTCCTCTCTGTCCCTTACTCTGTCATTATCTCAAAGTACACACGAAGTACACGCAAACTACTACATGCCGCGTCGCCAGGCTTTCATCTGGCGGTACCGTCGTCGCGGTGACAGTCATTAACAGGAGGGAGGGGGGGTAGGACTAATGCCCCCCTCTCGTACCCCGCTCCCCCCTCCCTCTGGGGCTTTTAACATGAAAGAGGCAGTAAAAGCAGCGATGGGCTCTTAGGATCAGTGCCAGGTAAACATCACCACTCATATAAAGACAGGAGGAAGTACTACCACTACTACCACAGTACACGAGTACCACTGAGTTTTGTAATAAAAAAACTACAAAACTGGTAAATGTAAAGGTATAACTATGGTTATAGTTATAAAACTACTACTACCTATACACCAAAACTACTACTACCAACAGTTTTTCAAACACAGGCAACCTAGTACTACAATATCACTATTACTACTACTATTGCTACTGCTACTACTTCTACAACTACCACTACTACTACTACCACTACTACTTTTGCCAACAGTTCTTCAACGAAAACTATATTACATTCCATGCAACTAGTACTAGAGCATCACTATTACTACTACTATTGCTACTGCTACTACTTCTGCAACTACCACTACTACTACAATGACTACTACTACTACTATTACCATCAGTTCTACAACCACAATTAATAATATTACGGTAAATATTACTACAACAACTAGTACTACAACAGATATCACTATTACTACTACTACTGTTGCTACGGCTACTACTTCTGCAACTACGACTACTACTACTATGACTACTACTACTATTACCATCACTTCTACAACCACAATTATTAATATTACTGCAAATATTACTAGTACTACAACAACTAGTACTACAACAGATATCACTATTACTACTACTGTTGGTACTACTTCTAAAACTACCACTACTACTACTATGACTACTGCTACTACTATTACCATCAGTTCGACCACCACAGTTACTAATATTACTGTAAATATTACTACAGGCAACTTAGTACTACAACAGATAAGACTACTACTACTACTATTACTATTATTCTAAAAGTAGTCAGGAAAGTGGATGTGATTTTTTTAGTATAGATACCTGCTCAAATGAGTATCTAGTTTCGATATTAATTATAGTGTCGATTCATATCAGATTTTCGATACTTTTGACCACACTACTTTGAAATGACTGGGAGTTAAAATCACTTACTGAGCCTGTGCATCATGGCCTCCCCTGACGGCGGGTAGTGGAGGCGGGCGGCGTACTCTCGGCTGTACCACACCAGCAGCTCTGTTCCCGCGGCGACGGCTCGCGTGGTGTAGAAGTAAACGTCCATGCCTTTCTGACACGCGGCCATGTTTTGGTCGGCCTCGCAGTGGGCGGGGTTCACGTAACGCATCCAGTTGGACCGCGATTCGTCCAGGCCGTCGACGAAGTGGTGCAGCTCGCCGTCCTCGTAGATCTGACGCACAAAAGGAAAAGAAGAGGATTAAAACGTGAGACACCCTCGATTTGTGGTGGTAATAATAAAATTGTGAAAAGAGTGTGTAATTAAGGAAAACTGTTCTGTATTCAGCCCATTTATGACTAACCTGTGAGTCAGGGCTGTCACGTTTTTGTGTGTTTTGGTCATTTTTAAGCACCTTTTCTGTATTTGACCTAAACACATGACAGTTTATGCTTCTCTTTATTGTTGGCAGGGATGAAATTGGTCAAAAATAGGAACACCTGGGACATTTCTTGTATAAAATAACGGACACACCTGGGTTGGGACGGCTGGCATAAATAAAATTGTGAAAAGAGCGTGTAAACATCGTGTATTCTTGTGTCAGTCATGATCTGAGGGAGTTTTTTTTTTTTGCTTTATGGTCATTTGGAAACACAGTTTTCTGTATTTCTGGCCAAACAACTGACAATTTATGCTCCTCTTTTCCTGCAGAAACTTAAAATGTATTTAGGTATTTGTAGTATTTGGGCTTAAAATATGATCATTTATGCTCTTTTTTAATGTTGGCGGGGATCAGATTAGTCAAGAATTGTGGTAGCCCTGGTTTAGTCCTGGTTTAGACCTGATGTAGTCCTGGTTTAGTCTTGCTGTAGTCCTGGTTTAGACCTGATGTAGTCCTGGTTTAGTCTTGCTGTAGTCCTGGTTTAAACCTGATGTAGTCCTGGTTTAGTCTTAGTTTAGACCTGGTTTAGATCAGATTGGTCAAAAATAGAGACACCTGGGACATTTCTTATATAAAACTTGGACAAATTAAGTGTTTTTTTTTTGTATAAATCTGCTGGGACAGGGGACACAGGCTCAAAACTGAGGACTGTCCCGGGTCAATAGGGACGTCTGCTCACACTATAATAATGTTAAGAATAAGAATAAATATTGATCTTTTGCAGTGACAGCACGCTGGGGGTGTTCTACATGTTTCTCTATGGTGGAATGTTGAAGAGTTTCCATGGTGACGCACTACACACACAAGCAAACACAACCAAAAATATTTAAGATTGTCTGAAACTCAAGAAGGAATACAAACTGGATTTAAAGAGCCTGTGATCAGTCTGAATGTTCCTGGTCCTGTTTAGGAGTTTGGTTTTCGACAAAAACATTTGAGAGTGACTAACTGAAAAACTGCTGTCTGTGGTATCTAGCGTGACTGTCATTTTTTACGTGTGAGAGACTTGTTTAAAAGTACAAAACAGCACACCTGCTGTAGCCCCGGCTAAGTCTGCTCTTTATGGTCAGATTGTGTTAAAATAAAGCTCAGATTAAAGTCTCACTTGAGTCACAGAACTTCAGATAGAATAGTACCTTCAGTTAGCATCACACCCTCAGGGAATGTGGATGACATCAGCTTCAAAGTATCAATTAATGACATTGTCCTCTGGCATGAAAGATCCAAAAGGGAAATTCACAAATGCTGAACCTAGTCTGTTTTCTAGCTAAAAGGTTCCACAGTGGGGCTTTAAACTTCTACGATGTAACAGAACTGAACAAAAAACAAAAACTCTAGTTATTAGGTGTAATCAGTATCAGAACCAGGACTCGGGTGAGCAGTCGTCCCTATTGACCCGGGACAGTCTCAGGTTTGAGCCTGTGTCCCCTGTCCCAGTAGATTTATACAAAACCACTGATTTGTCCCAGTTTATACAAGAAATGTCCCAGGTGTCTCGATTTTTGACCAATCTGATCTAAACCAGGTCTACACCAAAACTAAACCAGGACTACATCAGGTCTACACCAAGAATAAACTAGGACTACATCAGGTCTAAACCAGGACTAAACTAAGACTAAACCAGGACTACATCAGGTTTAAACAAGGACTAAATCAGGACTACATCAGGTCTAAACCAGGTCTAGATCAGGTCTAACGTAGGACTAAACTAAGACTAAACCAGGACTACATCAGGTCTAAACAAGGTCTAAACTAAGACTAAACCAGGACTAAACTAAGACTGATCCAGAACTACATCAGGTCTAAACCAGGACTACATTGGGTCTAAACAAGGACTAAAACAAGACTATCAAAATTTTTGACTAATCTAATCCCTGCCAACAGTAACAAAAAGCATAAATTATCATATTTTAAGACCACATACCCAAATACTTTCTGGTTTCTGCGGGAAAATGTTGATTTTTGGACTTTTGCTTTTCGTGATTTGAAGCCAAACATGAATGCACCACACGTAAACATTTCTCTTCCTTCCTTTCTCCTTCCTTGCTCTCTCTTTCATTCATTCACCGTTGCGGCGCTTGTGTTTACAGGAAGCCCCCTCTCGGCGCTATTTGTGTCACAGCGACATCACTTCCTGTTTGACACACTTCCTGGATGATGTCAGTGGAAGTGCTCCCCCAGATCTCCCAGGGAAAGGCTCGGATTCGGGCCCAGAATTGTGTGGTGGTGGTAGTATTATTCCGTATTCTTTTCTTACCCTCCAGAAGTACTTCCGGTTGGCGTCCTTGGGCACAGTCTCCGCGGTGTAGACCTCTCCCACCAAAGGGCCGAAGCGCGTGCCTCTGGGGATGTACTCACGGCTGCACACTCCCATCACCTGGACAACGCAAAGGGACGGTTTATTTGAGCGCAATTCACACATAGGGTTACTCAAAGCACTTTACAGATTAAAAAACACATGAAAACCCCAATGCAAGGAGGTACCACGCCACAAAGCCAAGTTACAGGTCAGATCTGCGGAGAAGCGACGGCCCTCAGAGTTAGAATGAACATTTTTAAGGTGTTTTTTTAACAACCAAAACACCTGTAACTGAATAAATGAACCGAATAAAGATAGATAAGTTTAATACCGTCCTGCTGAACATTCTCTAAACTCTACATCTACAATGGGCTGCAATTTTAACTATCTAACTACAAATGAATTTATCTTTTATGGTTATAGACAAGACAATATACAGGGTGTCCCAAAAAATTTTTATTTCACAGGCCATTTTTTTTTTTTTTTTTTTTTGGCAATTCTTATTGAAATAACCTAAAATTTTCAAAAAATGTAAAGAAACTTGGGATGTAACAATATCCAAATATCATGGTACAAGATTTTCACGACATACATCTCATAGTACAATATATATTGTGATATTTTGTGGCTAACAAAATTGTGAACATGCTACTTTTTCTTCTTAAAATGCCTCGACAAGACTTAATTAAAAACTAAGCTTTGAAAGTGCATAGAACTGCTGTTTCTTCAAGTAGTTTGCACCAAAATGATGCAAAGGATCATGGTCTATGTAGTTCCCTCTGTTTTTTTTTAGCTCTTGCTGCACCATAACAATGAATTTAAGCAAAGAAACTTGTGATCCAATATATTGTGGTGGTCCGCGATATTACTGAGAGACTTTTGATGATACAATATCACAATATTTTGGTTATTCTGTCACCCCTAATAGAAAAAGATCAAAATTTTCAGGTTTAACCGTTCACTCCCAAAGAGAAGTCATTTTGCGTCTTGGAATCTGCTCGCACACACTCACCCAAGACTGTGCAGCCTTTAGTGCAACATTTGGAAAAACTGGCAAGCAAATTTGGACTTGGTACCAAAAAATGTTAAGAGGAAGGCTGATTACGCAGGACTAAAGGATCTGGTAGACCAACATCAACATCATCATTGAGCTACACTTTGTAGTTTTCAAGATAATTGCTTTTAAAATTGATGTACAACTTTTCATTCCCATAATAAACTTATGATGTTCAACACCTAAACTGTTGAATTTCATTGAGCTAGACTAGGTAGTTTTCAAGATAACTGCTTTTAAAATGATGTACATTTTTGGGACACCCTTTATATTGAGGAAAAAAAAAAAAGAAAAAAATGCTTCCCAAATCACATTCTTGTACTGCAAAAGCCCTAACACAGTCATTATTATTCTCTGCTAACTTTATTTAAAGGTGCATTGCGTAACTTTTCTGGTGGAGGGTCCTGCTCTGCCTGGAATGTTCCGCAGTGTGATATTAAACAGTTCCACCTTACACTTTTCAATTCCAGGTGGTTTTATAGCTCAAAAATACGTAGAAAACCAGACATTGTGACCTGTAACTCGGTCTGGTTCGGTCTCCATGAAGATAGAAAGGTTTAAAGCCATACTGTGAAACATTCCAGACCAAGAAATTGACACACCCTCCACCAGAAAAGTTACACAACGCGGCTTTAGCACCAAACCTGCCCCCTTCACTTCCTCCGTCCGCCGTCGAGCTGCAGATAACCACAGAGAGCCGTTTCATGCGCTCAGTCTGTCTAAACGCGCCGCTGATAACCTGATGAGAAAATCGATGCTCTCTTCGCGTCGCGTTTACTCTGAGATTTGAAGTGTCAGAACGCAAACTTTTGACCCGCACTCACACAACGCCTCACTCATTTTCAGCGTCGAAAAATCAATACCATCAGTCATTTGAACTTTTGCCACTTTGACAAAATGGGGATGCTAAGTAGGGCTCTTAGAAGTATCGAAAATCAGATACTAATTGATACTTAACACGTACTAAAACTAGATACTCATTTGAACAAGTATCGATACAAAAAAAATTACATAACTGGCAAAAATGTGTAAAATGTTTGTCCTTAAAACTGACAATAGTGATCTTTCGAAATCAAGTTTGAAATTTAAATTTCAAGACAACAAGTCAACTTTTGACAAAATATTAAAACTACACATAAATCTAGTCATGAATTAGGATTTGTTTTGTAGCTAAGTTGTAATTTGGGTCTTTCATTTTTGCAGAAATCAATAGCATCCTCCATTTGAACTTTTTTTGACCAAATCGAGTCTCCAAAACTCCCGATTCATTTCAGTTCAGCTGGAGTTCACCGTACGGCGTCTCGGAGGGGTCAAAACGCATGTATTTTTGAGCCCTAACCATCAAGACAACAAGTCAACTTTTGCTAAAACATTAAAACTACACACAAATCTAGTCATTAATTAGGATTTGTTTTGTAGCTAAATTGTGATTTGGGTCTTTCATTTTTACAGAAATCAATAAACCAATTGAACTTTTTCTGACCAAATCAAGTCTCCAAACTCCTAATCCATTTCAGTTCAGTTAGAGTTCACGGTACGGCGTCTCGGAGGGGTCAAAACACATGCATTTTTGAGCCCTAACCTGACGTCTCACATGCGCAGCGCCCCCTGTCAGCAGAAGCGGAATCACAGGTGTTAAATGCGTTTTTCGTCGCGTTTAATTCAAGCATGATGTGTTTTTTTTAGCCCGGGGACGCAGATTTTTGCAGTACCCCCCTCTCTGGGTCACATGACTCAGATCTTGACTCAGCGCCGTTAAAGTCTGACTAAATATCTCTGTCTCAATCTGTGTTTACTAATTACTCACATATACGGTCATTCAACTGTACTTTCTCGGGAAATTTGACCAACTGTTTGATTTTAAAATGCTAAAAATGCATTTGTAATCATTTTGGGTACTTTCACATTTTTCGCGGTGAGATTACAGTTATAGCGTAGTTTTGCATTCACTCTTTAGTCCAGATGTCGACTTTTGTGTAGTCATGGTCTAGTTCTGATCTAGTCCAGGTCTAGTTTCAGGTTTTGTTGTGGTCTAGTCCAGGTTTTTAGTCCTAATTTTGGAGTGAAAATGTGAACGCAATCAGATTATAACCCTCTAAGGACAGTGTTAATGTAATATACTGAGTCCAGTTTAGTTCTGATGTAGACTTTTGTGTGGTTCTGGTCTAGTCTTGGTTTAGTTCTGTTCTAGTCAAGGTCTAGTTTTAGGTTTAGTCCTGGTTTCGTTCCAGATTGTTCCGGTTTAGTCTTAATTTTGGAGTGAAAACATGAACGCACTCTTAGATTAAAACCCTCTCAGGACAGTTTTAATCTAATATACTGAGTTCAGTTTAGTCCTGACGTAGACTCTTGTGTGGTCCCAGTCTAGTCCTGGTTTAGTTCTGGTCTAGTCCAGGTCTAGTTTTAGGTTTAGTCCTGGTTTCGTTTCAGATTGTGCCCCAGTTTAGTCCTAATTTCGGTATTGTGAAAACGTGAACGCACTCTTAGATTAAAACCCTCTAAGGGCAGTTTTAATTTTAACGTAGACTTTGGGTCAGTCCTGTTCTAGTCCTGGTTTAGTTCTGATCTAGTTTTAAGTTTAGTTTCAGATTTAGCACCAATTTAGTCCTAATTTTGGTGTTGTGAAAACGTGAATGAACTCTTAGATTCCAATCCCTCTCAGGACAGTGTGAATGTAATATATTGAGTCCAGTTTAGTCTAGACATAGACTTTGGTTTGGTCCTGGTCTTGTCCAGGTCTAGTTTTAGATCTAGCCCCAATGGAGTCCTAACTTTGGTGTTACGGAAGTGAACGAACCCTTAGATTAGATAGACAAACCCTCTAAGGACAGTGTTAATGAAATATTTTGAGTCCAGTTTCGTCCTGATGTAGATGTTTGTGTAGTCCTGGTCTAGTCCTGGTTTAGTTCTGATCTAGTCCAGAATTAGTTTTAGGTTTAGTCGCGGTCTAGTTAAGGTTTTGTTTCAGATTGAGTTCCAGTTTAGTCCTCTTAGATTAAAATCCTCTAAGGACAGTTTTAATGTAATATATTGAGTCCAGTTCAGTCTAGACGTAGACTTTGGTTTGGTCCTGCTCTAGTCTGGGTCTAGTTTTAGATCGAGCCCCAGTGGAGTCCTAACTTTGGTGTGACTGAAGTGAATGGACCTTTCGATTACAAACCCTTTCAGGACAGTGTGAATGTAATAAAGGTTTTCCAGATCAACTTGTAAATATGTTGCTGATTTGGTACATTATTCACAAAAGACTGGATCTAAAAATGGAGTTGTTCAGTGTTAGTTCTGGTATGACTACAGAAGGACATTTTTTGAGCTTTACTTCTTTCACATTCACTGAGAACTCCTGAATGAGTCATGTTTTAAATAACGCACAAAAACGTTAGGTGTTTTCTGGTGTATCTCGTACCTCTCTGCTGTCGGCTCTGTACTTGAACATCAGATTCCGGGGTAATGTCGCTTCGGCCCTCGTCGGCGCCGTCACCTCCGACCCCACGGCGGTATCCTTGACCACGTAGGTGCACCTCTCCTCGAACTCGGCCTCGCTCCAGTGAGTCATGTCGGCCGCCTTGGACAGGTACTCTTCCTCTTCCTCCTCCACCTCCTCCACGTCCAGCTCCGCGTCGCTGTCGCTCATGGGCTCGTCGCTGATGCTGCCGCTGATGCTGCCGCCGATGAAGTTCGCGTTTGCCACGGCCACCATCTTGTCCTGGTCTACGGCGTGCGCCCCCTCACTGGTCAACATGGCAGCGCTATGAGAGGTCGCCTGAGAGAGAAATATCACACGAAATAATGAGTTTGACAGCCAAGTTTGCACTGAAATAAACATTTTTACATAAAAGTTTTTTTTTTTTAAGCACTGGGAAGTGAAGAGATGAAAATTTAAACAAAGAAAATGGCTTAACTTCCTCACAAAACCTATTTTATATAATTTCTCAGCTTTTCCCCAATTGTTTTATCTCAAAATCCTTAAATTCCTTAACAAAAGAAGAAATTCAAAACTACATAAAACACGAAATTGGATTAGAATTTAACCGAATTGTGAAATGGTCAAATATCGTAAAGACAGATAATCACAAACAAACACGGGTTTCAGAATGATGAGAAATTACGACTGTTGTCATAGTGATTAACAATTTAAAATAAAAAAATACACAGATATCTCAAAATGTTGCGTAAAACAGAAAGTTTAAACCCAGCAGCCCAGCAGTTCCTATTTTCCACAAACTTTTAGCCGATAACAAATGTTGACTAAAACTAATTATCAGTCTAGCTCCTTTTCCAGTGTCAGATTTCCGGATCTTCCACGGTCTCCCTGTTTGAACACATCCCCAGATAAGGCGCGTTTCCTCCGGTTTCCTTTTTAGATCCGCGGTGGGACCAAAAGCGCAGGAAGGAAGACAATTCTGTGTGAACGAAGCTAAATATAGACCAAAAACACGACCCCGAAAAAACAAGGGGCCAGAGCGCGAGTGAAGCCTGCCGCGGGCCCGGGCTGTCCGCGCGGAGCAGGCCCGGGGGAAGAGAGAGGCCCACACCGGGGGAAGGGGGGGGGGACACCGCACGGACCGCAGCGACTCACGGGAAATCAACTAAACCAAAAATCATTACGGGTTTTGCTAGACTTTTAAACCAGACATTCACTGCAGATTAAACACAGCCAAATAACTGCAACCTGAAAATTATTATTATTAAAGATTACGCAATTCAAAAAAAAAAAAAAAAAAAAAAAAAAAAGCAGTAACATTGGAATGCTAAATTATGACATACGCCACGCTAGGACTAATTACTGGTTTATTGACAACCGTGACAACAAATCTGCACTTTTTTTTTTTTCCTACAGTTTAGGCCTATTGTAATCTAGTTTGGTTAAAATATATTGGCCTACAAAAAATAAACAACTGCAACAACAAAATGTGGTTTCCATAATAAAAGCAGCAATTACGCACGGTTCCAAATTGCGTTAAATTGACAAAAAATGAGGATTGATTTAAAGTAAAGACCATGTAACGAACGAAACCAACAGAAAAGGTTTTGGTAATGGAGGAACATTAAAAAGGCCAAATATTTTCGTGCAATAATCAGCCTGACAGGAGGAGTGAACCTAAACTCTGCGCGGAGGAAATTAAGGGTCTTGTTTTTCGCATCCGCAGCTGCAGCAGCGAAAAGTCCAAACTGAAACCAAGAAAAGGGCACCGCGTCCCTTTCGGTCTCATATGAAAACGAGAGGTCGCTTCAGCCCGAACACGATACGGAAGGTAAGTTTTGTTTTAATCTAACGCGAGGCTCAAGTTTAGGAGCGGAGAGAAGAGAAGCGGAGCGAAGCGAAGCGGCGACGGAGCGGAGCGAGGCCACGAGGCGCGCAGTGACAGCGCGTTTTAGAAGCGACAACAAACAAAACAACAGATACATGATTCAAAATAGAACCAATAAAAAAGAAACGACATAACTCTACATTTACCGGTAACATGGACGCTTATCTGTGCGTAATATGATGTAAAAACAGCGGGTAACGTGCTGTTTTCAAGTCAAATAATTGGCCTGTAACTATTCTATTAAGTAATAAAGACAATTTAAATGCAAAACTGTATTTTAGCAGCAGAGCCTTTAGTAAAAAATCGTTTATGGATTAAAAAAGTGACATTTTACGCATTTTACGCACAGAGTTCAGACTCGTTCTCTCGCGTTCTTTAAAAATTATATCCTGCACATTTTCGTTCTTATGTTTTAAATGAGTAAAACATCATATTTTTTGCGTTAAAGTGCTTAAAATGTTATGTCAGCAGCTTCCTAAACGAAAAATGCCAAATTTGAAACATCTTTTTGAACGGAAAAACAACAACATTGCTTTAATGAAATGTTTTTTTAGACAGGAATTTGTGGCTTCAACTTGTGTTAAAATCCAAAGTTTGGTTCAGTTTTACGCACCCGAAAGTTGTAGAAAATTAAGACGTGTAAAAACAAAAAGTAAAATTCAAATTCCTCAGTTCAAAAGTTTAAGTCCGGAGAAAAGTAGAATAATCTCCTGAAATCACGTTGTGGACACTCACCGTTTGGTCCCATCCACACATAAGGGCTACGGTCCAAATGCGAGTCCGGGACAGGTGCGCGTGTATCCCGTCCGTACGTGCGTTATTCCGTGCGTAAAAAGAGTCCTCCGGTGCGTGCGCGTCCGTGTGCTGCCGTGTGCGCGCGTATGGTCCGGACAGAGCGCAGCGCCAGAGCTGAATGAAGCGCACTGACACGAGACTGCGGACTAAAAGACAAACCGCCACCCACAAGGCGCCGCCCCTGCCGAGGTTCCCACCCACAGCGCCCGGGGGGGTGACGTACACGCGGACTGGAGCCGTGGATTTCTGCTTCACACCGAGTGCTCCGTGTGTGCCGGAGCTTTCAAGGAGAATTCACCGTAAAACTTTAAACTAAAAAAAAAAAAGTCTAAATATTTGGTACACTTTCAAATACGTTTTAATCACACTTTAAATCACAAAAATATAAACAACAAACAGTTTATATTTGTTTTTTTTCTCACATAAAGGAATTTGACACTTTTATTTGACTTTTTTAAACAGACCTGGAGTTGTGTTTTGTTTCATTCACACATGTTTAACACACGACACAAAAAAACACTCTTTCACTTTGTGATGTCATATGGTGATATAAAAAGAGCTCCGCTGTGTTTTTAAACTCCACACACCTTCGCTTGAATCATTTGGATCATTTCAGCCCTAAAATTTCCAATCTACTCAGCAAAAAACTGGAGGGTTAAAATTTCAGGGTAAAATATTTCAGAGTTGTTTTTAACACAAAAAGTGTTATTTTAACTGTGTAAAAAGTTGAACATTGAGTGGGGGTTCAAATTGCCAGAGCTGAAATGATCGAAGTTAATTCAACTTCGCATAGTGTTAATTCATCTACCCCAGTGTTAGTTCAATTTCCACTAGTATTAACTTCCACTAGTGTTAATTCAACTTTCACTAGTGTTAATTTGGCTCCTCTCACCCACCACTTCAAACTCCCGTGAGAGAAGACCAGTTTGAACCAGTTTTGTTCATAATTTCATCTTAAATGAATTAAAATAAAGTGTAAAATAAAACACCTCAGGATAACTCTACAAAGTGTTACCCGTTTACTTTCAAAACATGAATATAACTCTTGATTTCGGTGTTAAACAGAAACTTTGGTCCAGTGTTACTTAATGAACATTTTCAAAAATGTTAAATTAACTCTAGAACAGATTGGACTCATATAAACCCTGAGAAGTTTGATTCTGTGAGAGTTGATTTTAACACTCCAAGAGTTAATCAAACGTGTGAATGAAACAAAACACAACTCCAGGTCTGTTTTTGAGGAGGTAATAACTTTATAACAAGGCTTAAAAGTGCACTATGTCACTTTTTGATATGCAACTGAATTGTTTCTATGGATACGTCAATGCTCTGCCTGGAATGTTCCACAGTGTGACTTTAAACAGCTCTGCCTTATTTGGTTACAGGTGGTTTTATAGCTCAAAAATACCTAAAAACAGATATTCTGACCCGTAACTTGGTCTGGTTTGGTCTCCGTGAAGATAGAAGTGTATCTATAATAACAATATCACCATGGAGACGAGCCTCTGAAGAAAGCTCCACCAGAAAAGTTCCACAATGCAGATGAGCCCCATTGAAAAGAGCTGATCAAACTCCTTATCACTGATGACGTCTAATGGGCAGGAAGTGGGCTTTACTGTCACTGCTGGCTTATCTGAGCGGACCCCCCCCCCCTCGGCCCCCCCGCCGTCGCACCTTCAAGGGCCCAGGGAGCTCGGAGCTTCACCTGAGGCATGGCGCGTTACCATAACAACGGCTGCGCGCTTTGAGGCTCAGCTTGAAAACATAATCAGAGCTATTGAGTTGCATGGGGGAGCTGCAGGCCGGTCGCTCGCGCCATAAACCCGGGACAGAGGCGCTTCAGAAAGAAAGGCGCTGAAAGAAGCAGCTCCGAGGGGTTTAAAGCTGCACTGCGGAACTTTTCTGATGAAGCGAGATAAGTGGAGATGTTGATGCATTGTAATATCATGATACTACATTTTCAAACTCGATTTCTAAGCATTTCTTTGCCTGGAATATCCCACAGTATTCCACCGATTTCCAGTATCTCCATGCCGACGAGAAGGCGACGCCAAATACAGGTCAGATCTGTGGAGAGGCGACCACGGCTACAGTAAGAACGCATGTTTTAAGAGCAATAAAAACATCTGTAATTGAATAAACGTTAAACGAAAGATAAGAATGTTACACTGTGGAATTTTTTGACACAAAACAATATGAGCAGACATTAAACCTCCTGTAGAAAAGCTCCGTAATGTGACTTTAAGATGAGATGCTGTAACCCTTTGAGTGAAAAGTATTAAGGTTTTTATTTAAGGTAAACAACTGTACACTTTTTGAGGTTTTTTTTTTTTTTTTTTTTGGCTATTTTTGGACAAATTTAACTAATTTTCACGTCATTTTTGTTCACATTATTTGCTGAAATTGCTTAAAAAAAAAAGTAGAAAGGTATATTTTTAAAGAGTTTTTAGTATATTCATTTGAGGATAAGTAAGTAGAATATTGGTCCAATTTTCTGGCGACTACAAATAAAAAAATATGACATAATTTGACATAAAAAATGAAATAAAATGTGATAATTCTGAAAACGGTGGCGACATTAAAAGGATTTGTTGTAGTTTTGGTGTTGGCCTGAGCAGCTGCTGTGTTTACAGGCCTGTGTCCAGCTGCAGTACCAGTGTTGTCCTGTCGGGGGCACAGCAGCCCTCTGTCCTCTCTCCACGCTCCACATCACTCTTCCCTTTTCTGCACTCTCTCCTCTCTCTCCGTCTACAACCTCTCTCTCTCTGCTTCTCTCCTCTTATCTCCTGTCTCTCCACTGTCCTCTCCCCCGTCCCTCTCTTTTTCTCTCCTCTTTCCCTCCTCTCTATCCTCTTTCCTCTACGCTTTCTCTTCTTTCCTCTCTCCTCACCTCTCTCTCCTCTCTGTCTCCCCCTCTCTCTCTCCTTCCCTCCTCTTTCTCTCCTCTCTTCTCTCCACTTTCCCCCTCTTCTCTTCTCTTCCCACTCTCCTCTCTTTCTTCCTCTTTCTCTCCTTCTCTCCTCTTTCTCCTCTCTTTTGACTGTCCTCTCTCTCTCCCTCTCTGCTCTCTCTCCTCATTTTCTCCCTCTCTCTCCATTGTCCTCTCCCTCTCTCTCCTTTTTCTTCTTCCTCTCTTCACTCTACTCTCCCTCTCCTCTTCACTTTCTCTCCTCTCCCCTTCCTCTCATCTTGCCCTCTTTCCTCTCTCTCTCTCCACTCTACTCTCCCTCTTCTCTTTCTCTCCTATTTGTCCTCCCTCTCCTCTTTCTCTTCTCTCTCTCCCCCTCTCCTCTTTCTCTACTCTCCCTCCCTCTCCTCTCTCTCTCCTCTTTCCTCTTTGCTTTCTATCCTCTCCTCTTTCTCTCCTCTTGCCCTCTCTCCCCTCTTCTCTCCTTCTCTCCTCTCTTTCCACTGTCCTCTCTCTCTCCTCTTTCTCTCCTCTCTCTTCACTGTCCTCTCACCTCTCCCCCTCTCTTTTCTCTCCTCTCTCTCTCCACTCTACTCTCCCTCTCCTCTCTCTCTCCTCTTTGCTTTCTATCCTCTCCTCTTTCTCTCCTTCTCTCCTCTCTTTCCACTGTCCTCTCTCTCTGTCCTCTTTCCTCTCTGCTTTCTCTCCTCTTGCCCTCTTTCCACTCTTCTCTCCTTCTCTCCTCTTTCTCTCCTCTCTCTCCACTGTCCTCTCTCTCCTCTTTCTCTCCTCTCTCTCTCCACTCTACTCTCCCTCTCCTTTCTCACTCCTCTTTCCCTCCTCTCTCCACTGTCCTCTCTCTACTCCCCCTCTCTCTCTCTCTCTCTTTTCTCTCCTCTCTCCACTCTACTCTCCCTCTCCTCTCTCTCTCTCCTCTTTCCTCTTTGCTTTCTCTCCTCTTGCCGTCTTTCCTCTCTCTCCCTCTCCTCTTCCTCTCCTCTTTGTCCTCCCTCTCGTCCTTCTCCTCTCTTATTTCTCTCTCCAGTCTACCTCCTGGCTTTCTCTCCTCCTTCTCCTCTTTCTCTTTCTCTCTTTCTCTCCTCTCTTTCTCTCCTGGCTTTGCTCCATGTCGTCGTTGTGTCTTTTCCTTGCTGAGCACTAAACACAGTGACATGTTTAGAGTAAGTAGTAGTCAGTGAGTTTGCTCTTACATTTACTCATTTGTCTCAATAAACTTCACTTTTGGACATATTTATAAATGTGGACTTTTATTCTGAAGTCGCAGTCGCCTCGGTGCACTTTATCCCACTACGGGTTATTCCAAAAAAAAAAAAAAACAATCGACATATTTACAATCGAGGCAAACTGGGCCCTTTTCACCCTGCATCCTTCAGTGTCTCTGGCTTAAACCTACATTTGACCCACCCTTCACTTTCCCTGGATGAAACTTGCATTTGACCCATTCTTCAGTGATTTGATGCTGCATCCTTCTGTGGTCTTGGGTTAAACCTGCATTTGACCCATTCTTCAGTGTCTCAGGGTTAAACTTGCATTTGACCCATACCTCTGTGTCTTTCCTGTTAAAGATGCATTTGACCCATCCTTCTGTGTCTTTGGTTTAAACCTCATTTTACCCATGCTTTAGTGTCTTAGAGTTAAACCTGCATTTGACCTATTCTTCAGTGTCCCTCCTTTAAGCCTGCATTTGACCCATCCTTCAGTGTCTGAGTTAAAGCTGCATTTGTTCCACCCTTCAGTGTCTCAGAGCTAAACCTGTATTTGACCCTGCATCTTTCTGTGTCTCTGGTTTAAATCTGCATTTGACCCATCCTCCAGTGTCTGTGTCAGTCCAGTGTGTGACTCGGAGGTTTTTAAAGTTTGAGTCTCTGTACACACACACTCTACACATGTACATGGATATTCACATATAGAGCCACTTTCTCCTGCTGCTTCGTCCGTGTGCTTGGTGCACTTCCTGACGAGGAGCAGCTCGTCGTGTGTGGGGTCGTCAGACGGAGACGTGGACCCGACTCGGCGGCCGCTGCAGTAGAGTGGAAATCCCCCGAGTTTGAGTTTGTGTCTTTGATTTGACTCAGTATTTACAGTCCTCCTCTTCTCCCTGACCTCCAGTTTAGAGCCACACAAACACGCGCCCACGTCTTTTCCAATACCTCCTGATCGCTCCCATCCACCG